TCCAAAGGTTGAGAAACACTGCTCTAGAGTGAGCTATACCTGTAAAAAATTGAACCCCTACATTGAAGCCATTTTGTTTCTGAGTCACTGCTGTGTCAATATTCTAAATACAATTATAGTGGGGAAGGCATATTAAAGAAAGAAACCACCTGGGCTTATCATACAGTGCAAAAATGTTTTGAGAAAAGTAAGCAGGGTTATAAGGATGCCCACTTGTTTTTTTTCACTTGTCTTTATAGCATGATCAATCCTCTTTTTTGCACTGTGGTTGCAAAAGAAAGAGGAAGCAATGTTTCCAGATGTTCCATAAAGGAAGGCATGGCAGTGATGCGTGTTAAAAAGAGGAAAGGTTTTGATCCATGGTTGCAGCTTTCTTTTGACTTCTTTTACTCTCCCTACCTCTCCCCCCACCTCACAGATGCCCCAGGGCAGTGTCCAGCAATTAAGTCTCATAGAGTTCAATGAGCACATTTCTCTAAAGGAATCCAGTGACTGCATCAATTTTAATTTTATCGTGGCAGGTGTGATTACTGGTTTTTGATTGGTTTGTTTCTTAAGTTTGATAGCCAAATGCCTAGGTCTGGAGCTGATGTGCAGGAGTGCAGATTTTAAAAGCTATGTTGTTGGTAGGTATACAGAGAAAATAACCTTGAGGGGTGGAAAGAACCATGGATTTTGTCTCTGCAAGTCCCCTCCTTCCTATCTGAGATTTCAGTACAGAAAATGTTGGAAAAGAAGTCTTGCACAATAATTATACTTGTATAATTAGGTGGTGACGGGTAGGGGATGATATGGTGGGAGCTGGAGGGCGGGCCATCTTCTGGGAAGACACCCCTGGTATGTGTTACTGGTAGTGTGTTCCGGCTCTCCTTGCTTGATCCCAGGCCCTGGTCAACAGGTTCATAGGGGCCCTGGCCTCCAGCTGCTGCTGCTTAATGGCGGGTTGGTTAAAAACAAGGCCCCCCTCATATGTCACTTGATCACCGAGGAGGGGGCGGACCTGGCATGTATTACCAAGACCTGGTTGGGGCCCGAGAGGGGAGTGCCCCTCTCAGAAATGTGCCCAGAGATACCAGGGCAGGGGAGGAGGGGTGGCTGTCATCATTCGAGAGTCTCTGGTGGCCTTCAGGGGCATTGCTCCACAAGTCTCCAGCTATGCGACACTGTTTCTTAGGTTGGGCTCCTGAAAACAGTTGGGAGTGCTGCTACTGTACCAGCCTCCCTGTGGCTGGCAACCTCCCTGCCTGAGCTGCTGGAGGCCGTCTCGGGGCTGGTGATGGAGTTCCCCAGGCTTATGGTTCTGGGGGACGTCAAGTTGCCATCCCTGGGACGGACCTTGGAGGCAGCTCAGGAGTTCATGGCTACCATGGCAGCCATGGGCCTGTCTCAAATTGTGCAGGAACCAAAAAGAG